TCGACGTTCCATTTGATTCTCATTTACTCGTGAGAACGAGAGTTATTACACTTTTTCTGAGAGTTGTGCCACTAACAAATGTCATCCTATCCATCACAATGAGTACTTTGAAGGCAAGTATGCGCTACGAAAAGATCACATTACACTTAGTTCGGAAAGGCTGTGAGCTGCAGTTCTAAGAAATTAACATCTCATGCACTACATCGTATTAACCATGTCAAGAAATTTTTATTCAAATTCATCATCATTCCTACGCGTTACATGATTGTTAAATTGGTGATCTGCAAGCTGCACCATATCTATTTCAGATTAGCTTTGAATGGCATCAGAAGCAATTTGCGAACATCATAGATTTGAATATGATTGCTGACCCCGTACACAACTACACCTGCACCTTCTACGAGTGGTCTCGCAATCCACATCATGCAAAATTCTTCCGGATCTTTTCTATTATTTCGGTGCTCACTGTTCTCGTAGTTGTTGTCGTACTTGGGAATGCGCTTGTTATTGCTGCAGTTCTGCTACGAAGACGACTACGATCCGCTACTGGGCTTTTAATTCTTTCGTTAGCAGTTGCGGATCTTTTGGTGAGCTACCTGATTTCTTCTCTTACTACGGCGAGTTTGCTATGTTAAATCATAATATTTTAGGTAGGAACAGTTATTCTGCCATTCAGCATTGCAAATGAAGTCCTCAATGGTTACTGGATATTTGGGGAGACGTGGTGCACAATCTGGCTAACCACAGATATATGGATGTGCACAGCATCCATCTACAACCTTGTCGCCATCTCCATCGACCGATATATAGCAATAATCAAACCGCTAAATTATCCAATGTTAGTAACAAAATTCCGCGCCCGCTGTACCGTTGCTGCCGTCTGGATCGTCTCTTTTATCATCTGCAGTCCAAGCTTCTTCCTCGCGTCCTCGATAAAAGACGTGAATCAGGAACCTTGCAAATGCACACCCGCCAATGCCGGGCGCGCCTACATAACCTTTAGTGCTTCGAGCAGCTTCTACGTGCCTATGGTCATCGTGATATTTGTTTACTTCCGCATTTACATCGCTGCACGGGCTGCCACTAAGAGCATCTATTCCGGGATGATGCAGGTGACAGCGAATGCTAATAAGAACACGAAGAGCTATTTGATCAATCATCC